TTGGAAATGTAATCTTCCATTTTGATACGATCAACTGACAGTTTTAACCAAGAAGGATCAGCATTGTCCTTCAAAACATTGTTTCAATGTCCTACTTATCAAACAACAAGCAGCTATTTTGACAGTCTCAGTTTGTGGAGGCCTGTCACGAAAACTGAAGCCAGTGGAACACAAAGGACCTTCAGGGTGAACAGAGGAATGATATACCTGCAGCGCTTTCACCAGATTCTGCTATTCTTTATTGAAAAAAATCCTTCAACATCGGATTCGAACGGCAAAAGGGCCTACAACACGCCCCAGCCGGCAAATATTAACATTTATTATATTTTATGGTTAACTTTTTTTTCTTTTCAAGATTGACAAGGGAGGCTCTGCCTCACCTGCCTCACCTGCCTCCCCTGACCGCACGTCACTGCTCAGATGTAGTTTTTATGGCCTTTCCATGTTTTATACTATTACAGTTTTAATACTTGGGGATTTGGGACTGTTGGTCAAGCAAAACAAGCTATTTAAGATGTCACCTTAATCTCTGGGAACATCTAATGGGTATTTTTAAATAAAGTTTGATCTTCTATAAATTAAGTCATTACTAAATACCTAAAAAAAATATGAACAAATTCATGCATGTCCACAGCTCCAACTACAGGCAGATATTGATTTAGTGACAGGCTGGTTAAACAGATTTTTAAAGATGGTACATTATACACAGTCTGACATGGTTGCATGCTGCCAGTGCAGGACAGAATCACTTTCTAAATTAAAGAGATGTGAGCTAAGATAATTGTTGTAAACAAGATTCAGGTGTTATCAACCAAAACTGCACAAAAAGTATAATACAATTGCGCATTCATTATGTGTAAGCACAGAAATATGCATCCTACCACACTAAAATCTTTAATCGACACCAAATGTTCCTCAGTGTTGATCACCAAAAGGAGCTAGAATCTTTGAGGAACTAAACATTATGCACAGCTCTGACCTTCAGACCTCAATGCTGCTCATTAAAGAAAATCTATTTGTGCGTGCACACGCGTGTGTCTATGTCCAGGCTCATGATACCCCACAGTATTTAACATTCAGCCCCCGTTGATGAGACAGCAAGAAAACAGTGGAAAACTTAGAATAATTTAAAAGGTTTGGGAGCATGCGTGTATCATTTCTATTGTGAAAAGGTTTTGCACTCACTGTAGTGTAGTAAATGATGACATCACTGCTGGTCATATTGCCATGGAGGACGTGTTCTTTCAAGTGCTGGATAAGTGTGCCCTAAGGAGACAGAGAGAGAGGGAAAGACTGTTACAAGTGTACCATTTTTTTATCCACTTATCTTATTATCTTTTTTACGTCCACCAAATTTTAGTTAAGCTGACATGGAACATATAAATTTCACACAGAGAAAGATTTTAATACAATAATTGTTTAGTTGATAATGTGTTCATCCCAATTTGCTGAAGTTTTACTCTTGTTTTGTTGAGCCCAAAAGCCAAACATAGAAAACATTTATATTTGACAAGGCAAACCAGTAGTATTTGGGCATATTTAAAAACAAATAAACTGATCAAAATGACTCAAAAATCCGTTTATTTCTTGTGCAGAAAAAGCTTCTGACTAAGGCTCCTCCACACAGCACACACAAGCATTTCTTTTTACAAAAAGGACAATGGTTGAGGGTGAATTCTCCCACCGCGGGATAGGTTATTATTGCTGATGGAGTGTATGAAATGAGTGTGTGATGGTGTGGTTTATTTTTGAGCCTATGTGCACATAAACAGGTACTATGTCTGTGAATATGTGTGTATCGTTGGCCACACTCAGCTGTCATACCTGTCCTTTGCACGCCATCTTGCTAACGACAGCATGTTAACAGAACTGTAACAAAGCACAAAGCACAACAGTGCCGGGTCTAATTGGTAGAGCCAGAGAGCAGTGCCAGCACTAAAATAAGAAATGTTTTCACCAACACATTACTGTCTAATTATCGGCGGCATGGGGAGAAGGAAGGGACACAAAAAAAAAAGAGATGAAGACAGAGAGAGGAAGACAATAAGAGAAAGAAAGAAGAGGGGGGTAGAAAAGAAGAAGCAAAGCAGGAGAAATGACTAATGAGAATCTGAGGACAAAAAAAGGAGAGAATGCATGCAAGTTAAGGACAGAAAACTAAATGTGAAAAAAGGACAGGAGGATAACAGAAAAGACCAAAACAGAGAAAAAAGGAAGGAAAAATTAGGTGCCAGCGGGAGAACAATGGTTTGTGAAAATGTGGGAATGCAGCTGGAGTGTTGGAGTGTATTAACCTATTTTAAACGTTGAGTGTTTCAGCCTTCAAAGTGCAGTGGTGCTTTTGAAATCACACATTCAGTTGACACTCAGTCTCACTTAGATATGGTAAGTAACAGGAAAAAAAATGTCATTCATACACTGAAGAGCAACCTTTTAAAAATCTATTGATGGAGCTCTGCTGCCATCTTGTGGTGAAAAGTGTAACAGAAACCTAACTGTACCAAATGGTTTGGACAACTGCTGCTGTGACGCAATACTAGGAATAATTTCAATAAGATGGTCAGACTGTGATACTGACTAAGTGGGAGTTTTCATTAGCCTTTAGAATTTGGACTATTACTGTCAGTGACAGTTACTAAGTGGACCTTGAGGAAATGTTGTTTCCAAAGTCAAGAACTAACTTTAAACCTCTAGGTCTTAAGCCAGCATGAATAAGAAGTAATTAAAGCAATTAAATTTTGGCTATCTACAATTACATGACAACTGGGCAACAGCAAATTAATATAAGCAGTGTGGGCCAAGTCAACAGAGCTCAGTAAACAGTGTGTGTTTCTGTGTACATGTGAGATGACTGTGGTCTATCTATCTTTTTCAAGTGGCTGCCTGTTACAGCAGCAGCTCTGGCTTACTACTGAGTTTTTCCCCTTTTTTTGTTTTCATTTTTGTATTTGGTTTGGGGTTTTTTTGCACTATGTACACTAAACTGCAGAGAGTGCCTGGTCCTACACAAGAGACCAGCTGTTAGCGCTCCATAACACAGCGGTACGGCCACATGAGACACATCAGAGAACTGGGAGAGCAGCATCATGCTGTTAACAGCGTCATGGCTAAATTCACTAACTCCAGACACAACCGTTGCTTTGGACAGCTTCCACCTTATACAGGTAGACAGGACAATGGAAAAGCAGTAAGAGGATGGGAGGAGGGCTGGCAGTATTAACGAATGATTGATGGTGTAACTTTGCACACATCACTATTAAAGAACAAGTCTGCCATAAGGTCACTGAACTGTTAGCATGAGGCTGCACTATACTACTATATACCCTACTAATACTATACTATAATACCTTGTCTGTTAATTTAACTCAGTGCCTGTTTTCTATCCCTTTGCTGCTGCAGTGCTGTGAATTTCCCCATCATGGGACTAATAAAGGTTTATTTTAACCCTTGTGGAGCTGCAACAAACAATGAACAAAACAGTTATACAGTATGTTAGTACAAAAATAATACACCTTTTTTAAAAGGTGACATGCACCTTTTCTGCCTTTATTCTATAAAATGAGCAGCACTGTGCATGAGATATTTGTGCCAGCTTAACAAACAAACCAACAGTGTGAGTAAGCGGTAGTTTTGTAACTTCAGGCTAAAGGTAAAATGTGTTTCTTACCCCAGCAGAGTGGACCATGCATTTAGGAGCTCCTGTGGTTCCAGAGGAGTACATGATGAACAGAGGATGACTGAATGGAAGCTGCTCAAATTCTAACTGAGGAAACTGGTCGGCCTCTCCACACCCAGATGCCAAGAAATCATCTATAAATACACTGCGGAGATTAAAAAAAAGGAAGTCAAATAAAAAATTAATGAAAGGATGGATGATACCTGCTCTCTGTCATAGAAAACATATCACTTTGAGTTTCTCAGTTTGAACACTTCAGTGCAGTTGTAACCACAGACACACACCTGTTGGGGATCTTGGAGAGGTCAGTCTCCTGTTTGGAGCAAACATAAGGAATCACAACCACTTTCTTCAGGTCAGGCAGACCTAGATGTCAGAGAGCAAGAGAAAGGCTCATGCTTGTGTGTTCTCTTCACACTCAAATCTTTGGGAAATGGCAAAAGAGTTCCCAGAGGAATCTGGGATGTTACTTTCATGAAATATGTAGCATGATCTTACCTTATAATGTCTCTACTACTTAGTGGAAACTCTTTCTAGGTTTTAAAGTCTATAAAGAGCCTAAAACATCGCTGACAACATCAAATACATGTTGGCACTAGCTGTCTCTGTAAATACTCTGACCACTGGAACATGTTTTGCCGTCTATCAGCAGAAGATTCTAAAGGCATTCATTACTACCCAGAATACACTGTTTTGGAGAAACGGAAAATCTAAACTGAAAATGTGAAAATGCATAACGGTCAGAGACATCAGTGCAAAAGCAAATACAGTTAGGAACCTTTGACAACGTTGATCAGCTTTTCCATGTGGTCATGTGTTTTGCCGTTGTAAACTACAGCAGCAACAGAGAAGATAAGTTTGGGCTGGATTTGAGAAAACCTGTCAAGGACACCCTGGGATTAAAAAGGAGACAGAGGGTTAAAAATGGCAAATCTTAGAAGTAAGAGCAGATAATTACAACTGCAAAAACTCCTCAAGTCTACAAAAACTGTCCTGGAATCTGACAGTCACATGGTAAACCTTGAGTGATCATGTTTAATTTAGAGAAGTTTAGAAAACAGATAAACAGAAACAGAGCAAATAGGAAACACACAGCAAAATGAAATCCATCACTTAGGATAAGACTAGTTCTCTGATCTGCCAGAAGGGGCAGTGGCACACCAGAAACAAATTGGTCAGGATTAGTTTATATGTCCTTGGACTTTACACCTGAGACTAAGAGGCATGAGAAACTGTTGGCTGACTAGTGAGCAGATAAAGGTTTTGAGATGCATTAGCATATATGGACTGTAACCTCAACATGCCATATGCGACTACAGAAATACAAGCCACAAACAGTATAGAACAATCCTTACGTTGACTCCAAAGTCAACAGACGTAGAGCTCCAAATGGCTCCAATGCTGGCTGCTGCTAACATGGCTTCCACTGCATGTATACCATTAGGTAAGTAGCCTAGGGAGGGAGAGAGGAGAGCGAGAAGAAAACACTGAGATTCATTTGATTAAAAATAACAACAGATATATAATATTTAGAGTTTAAAAACAAGCATTGTGATGACTTTTGATAAACATACAGATCTGGACAAGTGATAACTTTTAGGATAAAAATAGCACAGATACATTGTTTTGGGTGAACAGAAGTCAATTTTGATTTAATGTGATATCTAATATTTTACGTAATATATGACATAATATTTCACCTAACTGAGAAATGAGTTGGAAAAACTCAAAGGGAAAAAGGAGGAGAGGCAGAGACACAAAGATAGTGGGACAGTAAACAACCTGGATAAAGGAGAGAGAATACAATTGGTTATAAAGAAGGGAGATGGGGAAAAAGTGAGACTATTTCATTTTTAACAACCAGGGCTGAGATTATAACTGTTGTCTTGCTGTGATATATTCCTTTATCAATATGGGAAATGGCACCCAAGGACACTACAAGTCTTTTTCATTGAACAGACACAGATTATCATTGATAGAGAGACTGATTGATAACTGCACCAAGGAAAATAAAGAATGAACAGATAATCACTCATTCCCACATTAATTTCAGCCAATACAGAAAATCCTCATTTCATGGGGAAAAATGACTCCAGTCTCCACTAGTGGTGGATTTAGCTTTCTATGCATTGTATCTGTAATGCTTGGTGTCAGTACGGGTCTTAAAACATAAAGTTAGAAACCAACTCTGTTCAGCGTCTATAAAAGGTTGTTCAAAATACAGGCACACGTTTTAAATTAGACCTAGCATATATAAGATATTTTTAAGCCGTGTCTGAAAGCCACTGATAAAGTGTTTGTATATCAATTTATTATGAACTCGTAAAAGTGTATACCAGTCATACCATCTTGTGTCTAATTTACATGGGAGGACACAAACAGGCACAGTGCAAAAAAAAAAAAGCTGTGACATTAAATTAAAAAAAAGGAGTGGCCAGGCTTCATACAGGTGCTCTCATGCTACCTTAAACACAGGGCTGTTTTGTTGATAACAGGTATCTATTGTAACATAATAAAACAATAACACAGCTGGTAGTTCCAACCAAGTAATCTGACTGGCCAGAGGCAAATGCCGGCCACGCTGTCACTCCTTGTGAATCATGACTAATCAGGCTGTATTGATCGCTGTGCCGAGTGATGTAAGCAGGAAATCTGTTCTTGGCTGGATGACGCCTCGGACTGACAGATTACATCTTGTCACACTGGCTTTTTGGGCACGCTCATCGTCATGAATCATAACCTTACTAATCCACCCTGCCTCCGTGGCTACTGTTATGAGTCACTTTCTTGCTATGCTTTAACACTGTTTACACACCAACACACTGCCTGTACTATCTGTTTATTCATGCATACTGTTATAAAAGGTTTCAGGTTTATGAGGGTAACCACTGAATGAACTGCAACTGACCTGTGCACTGAGCAAATCCATAAAAAAAAAAAAAAACAATAATTTGATATGTAGATCACGGGTTTGAAATCAACTACGAAAAACTGTGAGAAGTGAATCCTACACTGACATCTTCTGTTAACACGCCCTGGTGAAAGGCACTTAACCACTACTGGATTCTATACTTGGCAGTTTAAATGACTAGGAAATGAATAAAATGTTTACACAGGGTTACGGTTACTCGCCCACCTGCATTATGTTAGTCCCTGAGAACCTTTCCTTCTCCATCAAACAGTTACAAGGTCTTTTTTTTTTGCAATATTTACTTGCTAGCATCTTTCTTCTTCACTGCCTGTGAGCACATTACTGTATGTTGACACATTACCAACCTACTGCTGATCAACGAAACAGAATGAGCCTAGACCAGCTCTGAAAGCCGCCACCCCACATGCATGCGCATGATACAAACAAAGCACTGCTCCATAGCGCTGCTAGGATAAAAAACAAACAAACAAAAAACTACGCAGGCCACATCTTAAGGTGAATCCAAAGTCCAAGTATATTAAAACAGCAAATAAATAAATAAAATTATGGCTCTGCAGGGAATAATTCTGTGGTTTAATTCAGGGATTTGGTTCAAACTGACAAAAATTCTGCACACCTGATTGTATGACAGGTGCATTGGAGCAAAACAGCATCTTGCAAAAATGTAAAAAATAAAAACATAAAATCCTACATGCTGTCTTGTTTAGACTGAATAATATATTATTAATAAACTATTCAGCCTAAGTGACCCACTGTGGTGAATTTTTTTTTATGTTTTTGCAGGATGGTTGGTTCAGCAATAATACAATCATAAAGACAGAAATGAAAGGAAGAGGCGCTATGCTACAATGACCCCATGTGTGCACTGCTGTGGTGTTACCAGAGCTACGACTGACAATCGCACCAGCCTAACTAGTACAATATGTCAGTCCTGATCCAAATGGCGACTGATGGTGACTGGTACAAACTGGGGTCAGTTGAAGCTTTGGTTTATAAATATCAGTAAAGTACATCTGGTCCTATGGCAGACAACATGAAAAACTAAACCTTTTCCAAACACTAGTGAATTTTACACTCACATCATATTTGTCACTCAAATTGCTTAAATTTTACACATTTTTTTTTTTCAAAATTGGCAAAAGCAACTAATTAATACTAAACAAAAAATAATAATGGTTTGAAAAAGCTCCTTTCACACTTTGTTCTGACCACCTTATTGTGCTCCTGCTGGCCACATGAGTCACATATTTCATGTACTTTGTGCGAGTGGCATCCCAATCCACAACCAGTCAGAGCAAGGAAGTGTTTGCTACAATACATGTGTGTGCACGCTAGGTTGGCCCATGTCCTGCCATAAAGCAGGGTGGGCCAACCTAGCGTTCATCAGCTAAGTGTCTATATATCTCCTGGATTACAGACACTGACAAGACATTTTAGTTACAACCTGGGGACAAGGACATTGCTGTCTCTAACACACTATGAGTGAGCACACATGTTGCAAAACACACACACACACACACACAGTTGTGTTTAGATATGCAGGAAGGTAATAGAAAGAGGGGAGCAGGTAGGGAGCTGATGTCTCTCTCTCTCTCCTCTTCTGATTTTTCTGTAGCTTCCTCTCCCTGTCTGTCCCTCTTTCCACCCCTCTCGTCTTTCTAATGAGATTCCCACAGAGCAAAGTCATTTAGGTAATGGATTTCCCCACCACCGCCATATCCATCTTGGTTCTGAACACATACACAGACTTTCATGCAGATCTTGGTTTTTCCTGGGCAGAATAAGTCAACATGAGCTTATGAACAGCAGCTTCAGAGTTTAGTGGAACTGTGGCTTCAAAATACAAACAGCTAATTTTTCAACTCTTGAAGACCCTAGGTTCCTCTATTTCTGGGGAGGTTTTTTTTTTACTGAATGTGCCAGAACACAACCCTCGGGCTCATTTCAGTTACCCACAGAATAACTGAACACCCAGATTCACAGTCATATCAGGGAGGTGCCTAGTACAACCATAGGTTCTCTTCTGTTAACTCTGTTAACTACAGCTATTGTTTCTCCATTAATATCTTTATTTTTGGTACATTTTTGAGTCAGAGTTGCTCAGGTGTCTGTCTGTCCATTTGTTTTTTGTAGCCAGGCTTCTGAACAATGATTTTTTTTTTTAATCCATAAATGTTTTCTGGCTATGGTGCCTGCTGTCTGTGATCTTTATCCAGAAAAAAATGGCCTGTTTAGAATGTGTTAATGTGTTTAATTTAATCAAAACATAAGTCACTTCAAGGAATAAAAAGTTCTGAAATCTGAGAACCTACTGTCTGACAACCCCCATTGTAACTGAAGCCTCTGATATGGACACAAAGAACTCAATAGACATTTCTGCATCATTGCTGGAAAAGTGGTACAGAGCAGAGGATGAACCAGAGAGGGGTGTTGATAAGACTCAGCTTAGTCAGACATTCATATACACTCTGACTGTACCACAGAGCTGTTTTACTGAGGAACTACTTCGTCTTAAAAACAGGCAGACAAACATGTATGACTAACATATTTAAACAGAGGTGTGAGAGACATGCTAATTTGGTTCTTGTATACTGTACAACAAGCATGATTGATGCAGTATAAATTCATGGGTGAAACAGGGTAAATTTCAGAGGTTTCCACCTCATTTTGGAACCACAAGTTTGATCAAAACACACAGGAGTCTTTATAATAGCTGAATAAGCTAATTACTCTTAGCCAGCATATTTGATGTGTGTGTATTTTGAGATGGGAAAAAAACCTCCCAATACCACCAAACATCAACATGACTTTGTTTCTTGATTCAAGGAGTCAACAAATGGTTCAGTTCAGAAATCTGAAATGAATTTTTTACAACCTAGCATCGCCCCAGATAGCTGAGCAGTACTACCAGCTCAATACGCATATAGCCAGCAATGTGGCAACAAGCTACAAAGATGAGAGATAAGCCTCGATTGACAACATTGGACACTTTTCACTGTTTTCAAAAAAATGTACTGTGCATTACAGCTCCAGCTGCTACACTGGCAGTGCTTAGTGGCAGGTTATAGCCCCAGGTGTGAATTAGTGGAGTCGAATGAATGTGCCATCCATTGGGCCATTGCAGCCGTTCCTCCCTGTGCAAATAGGAACTTTGGAATTTTGCTGAGATTCAGAAAGAGCTGTGACTTGTGCCAAGACAGCCAGTGCACACTGAATCCTATGTGCAGCTTACTCTGGAAGAAGAAATTCTGGGCCTTCACAATTCTAATATACCAACTAATTCAGCCAGTAATCATAAATAACCTACTGCAGTTGATAATAGCATTATTTAAATATTAATCCCACCAGGTTTCGTTGTTTGCCCCCAGTGAGACAAAGAGCAATAAATCTGAGACTTACCTACAACTCTGTCTCCTGTCTGGACTCCCATCTTCCTCATGGCTGCAGCAAACAACGCCACATCACGCCTCAGCTGCCCGAAAGTCACCTTCACAATCTCCTCATTTGCCTCCACTGATAGATAGAGACACAAAGAGAAAATGAGACGGATATAAATATGTACATTTCAAAATGTACGTTCACGCTCATACAGGGAGAGAGGGCCTATCTATTATTAAATGACAGTCCTGAGGGAGCAACAGCTAAATCTAATAAAGTGACGCACTCGCCATCTGTGTCATTCAGGAAGGAAAAAACTCCAATCCAAATGACTAAACATGCAGGGAGAGACAAATCAAAACCTGTTTATATACACCATAGGGAGAAGTGCAAAATATCCAAAAGCAAAAGCTACAGGTAAGGCAAACAAAACTGCATTGAACACTGAGCCGGCCCTGTATGTGTGGAGTGTGTCAAGCCTGTTCAGGAGTAAGAATGAAAGTGAAAATGAGTGCCACGTTGTTAATAATCAACATGTACATTAAGTTGAACACTGTTTGCTTTGTGCATGGCATTAACTCAGCCAAGATTTGGGATTTGATTCCTACTGGAGATCGATAAAGCAAACACTCCAGGTGCAGCACTGTCACATACAGTATACTGTGTGTACTTACTAGCAGCATAGAGAGCCACTTTGTCCTGGTCTGCATGTTTGAGCAGGTTCTCCGCGTAGTTGAGCCGAGCCCCTTTAAACCACTCCGGAACATCCGAGATCCGCTTGGATACATCCACCACCTGACATACACCCATAAAATACACATCAAGAACACACACAGGGTAGAGGCACACTATTGTCATTGGCCAAGACTGTGAACTGTAAAGCCCTGGGGCACTTGCTTGCAAAAAATCTAGCCTCCTTTATATTATTTCACTCTTCTTCATTACATTACCTTGACATTAATGTCTGTTATTTTCACACGTATCAGACATACACCTCTGGTATGGTTTACTCTTTACTTGTAACTGAATGATGTATGTGTTGAATTCTACTTTAAAATGTTTTGCCAAATGTTGATCATTCATTCTGGTCTTTACCTGCTGATCCAGAACCTAAAAACACATTTGTTTGCATTATTATCTTCTTTAAAAAAAAAAAAAAGAGTTTGTATTTTTATTATCAGGTTTTAGTTCTTGTTATAATAATGAGCATGTCTGTTGTGGGTTGAAATCAGAACCATTCTACTTCAGGGTATAATGCAACAGCAGAAGTCGAACTGACCTCTTCATACGGTTTGGAGCTGACTACGCCACAGAAGCGCCACACCTCTGCCCAGAACTCTGGGTAGCTGTCCACCGACCACTGGTACAGGTCACTGTAGTTGACTGCAGCACACAGATATTTTTTTCCAGTTACTACAGCTTTATGACAAAAACATAAAATGTGAAGTTGCTACAGTTGGCTAAATATAGATCAGACACTAGTTCAAGTACCACTAAAGCAAAACAAGGTTAACCTTATTACTTGAAACATCCTGGCTTGAAGTCAGCCTCCATACCCCTGTCATGCTCCATTAACAATGTTTGCTCTGCAAACCCAAAACTCGGATAATCTCCACACATTGCTTAATGATTAATGCCAAAACTGAACCTGAGTTAAATTTGGTCTGTGGGTACTATTTTCCCTCTTCATTGTGAAATAAGCCCCTTATTGAGGGGGCTTCACATAGATTTGGCCTCCTTATCAGCATCCAGCAGAAAAAAAGAACAGGTCAGAACAGTGGTTCCAAATCTTTTTGGCTTATGACCCTTTGAAATGCTTAATCCACAAACATCCTGTATGTTGTATAAATGTGTGTGTGTGTGTGTTCTGATATACAGTATGTTCTTCACAGAAAATGAGCCAAGGCCACTGAGTCTGAGCTTGAAGAAATAATTACTTGTATCTTTTTCTTTTTGATTATAAAAAAGTGGGTCATTGGTGGCCCGAACAACACACAAGGAGTAACCCTTTGGATCCCTGGGATGTGAGAAATGTCTTGATAGCACACACCTGACAGCTAAAACTAGATAGTCTGTATCAAAAAAAGAAAAAAAACAGGTGAAAACCACCAATGTTCAAGCCAATTTCTGCGGTATTTATTCTTGGAATTTTATTTTGCACTTACACATCATAGCTGTCTACACTCCTGTCCCCATCTCTGCTTATTTGCATAACTAGCTTTTGCTTTATTCATTCAGTAGCTGGAAAACCTTGTTTTCCAACATTCCTATAGCACAACCTTCTTGGCTTCAGCTGACAAGGTATAAAGCAGACAATTTTAAAAAGCCTTTCTATTTTCATAACCTGGCAGTTCTGGTCACTTAGGAGCAATCCAAACATAAAAGCCGTACAGAGCTGCAGAAGGGCTTTTTTAAGAGATGGCTGCATATTTTCATTAGTAGGTTATAAATAGTAACTTACCTGGACTAATGAGTTTATGGTGATTCACTGTCTCTTTAGTAACTTGCACCCTTTAAACTGCCAGATGACTGCACATCGCCTAGCTTGAAACGTTGCATTGCAAAGCAACTTTAGACAGTGCTAATCTAGAGGCAATAAACCGTCTGTAAGACACCTAACACAAGATATATTGATAGGTATCAAAGGGAAAAATTGTGCCTATTTCTGTGTTTCTGTTCAGCTCAGATATCCAGTTTTGTAGGCTCAGTAAATTCCGACTTGTGATCATCCCAACGCGCCTACTCGCTCTGTCTGGCTCCTTGTCTGGCTCCCTCCTCTCCTTCCTACTCACCCAGATTAAGTCCGTAGTTCCCGTTGACCCGTATCCTAAACCTATCCATCTGTGTATTCCTCTTGGAGTCCGGGTACCACAACACCTTGCTCTCCATATCCATAATTTTCTCGCTCTTCCTTTCCGTGTCTTTAGACATCTTGGTTGCGTCCCTTCGTTGGATGCCAAACAACAGTTAACGCGAGTCTCGAGCTCCTTGTTGAAGCTAACAATGTGTGAGGTGAGAGCTTGTGTTAAACTGGGTCATGGGATAGTTTAGTGGAAATTACTTAGGAGTTACAGGACGCCACTGCTAGCAAGACTGTCTAAGACAAGCGTGGAGCTTCCACAAGACATTTGAAAGGACACGCCCCTGCGTCATGACGTAATAGTAAGGTGAGTTCAAGAACGTGTATTGTTCAATACTGTTATACAAGATATGAACTACACAATACCTGCACAATAGGTTCCGAACTGAGAACAAAGGTCTTCATTAGAGGCTCCATAGTGACCATATTGACAAAAAAAGATAGTTTGTTATAGCCTACTGTACATGCTGGCTGTTTAAACAATGGAATTATCCACATGATATTACAAATTAATTTGCTTTTTACCTAAAATTTGGATTTTAGAATAAATTTTTAACCTACAAAGAATGTAGTTGCACCGTTTAGTCTTGAACGTCTCCCTTACGTGTATGCGCAAATGTATTATTCAAGTATTCAGTCTCTCGTGCACGCGGGAATCTGGCCTGTCAAAATAAAGGATTTTGATTGGTCCTCAGCACACTGGTTGCACATCAGCCGATAGATCGGTCTATGTGGGAGGCGTAGCATCGCCGTTGGACTGGCGTCTCGTTTGACCAATAGCAAGCTTCAAAACAGGTACGTTGGCTAATCAGACAGCGAGAACACAGGAGCTTTTTAGGGGTGTGACCAATCAGTGAGAGGAAAGAAGGACTTTCCTCACTGTCAGGTACTGTCAACTCAACTTTGATTTAATGATGGAAAAGGCCCGTGGTAAATCAAGTTCTCTTGAGTCTAGTCTACTTTGCATTACTGCAATGCCCAATATATGCTTACTTGAACAATGGCAGTTTTACTATAATGACAGTCTAGCATTTATCTTTGGATACTTACAATTTAATATTTACTTGCTTATTGACAAACACCCTATTCTTGGATCTCTCTCAGGCACCTCTGGCAATCCCAGTGCTCTTTGTTGTTAATTTGCAGCTCATCTTATCCTGGGAATGAGCAAGACACATGGTGGGCCTGCATACACCCCACCTTTAGATGACATTGTACAGTATGTATGACAGAATGTTGTATGTGCTCCAGCCTCACTGAGACAAACATGATTGTGGATGATTAGAAATTGGAGTTAACTTGAAAAGCGCCCTGGGGTGTCATTCAGCAGCAACTGTCTCTTATACCTATTTATCCTGGCTCTGCCTACACATCAGCTCATGCTGCCTGCAGCCAAAATAAACATTTTGTAACAAGCTGCTGTCATTTTCTTTCATCATGAAATTTTTTTCCCAATGACTGCTCTTTGAATTCTGTGATGTAAAATGTGTAACTGACCTATACTGTAATTGTAGTGCCTAACATTTTACAGTGCATTGCATTTAGCTGATAGTGATATCCAGAACAACCAGAGGACCCAACATGGCAAAAAGACAGACTACTTAGTCAGGCAAGTATACAGTATACCAGTATATTTTCAGGAAATGTGTCTGGTAATAGATCCATGGTACTAAAATTCATCTTTTAAACTGTGAAATAAGTTTTTTTTCTTTCTTTGGATCTCACATGGACCCACGGAAAACCTCTAGCTTTTTGAAATGGTCTCTATAGTGTCAAACCACTTTGCATTTAATTTTTACCATAATTTCAAGAAGTCACATTCTCTTTTCAGGCTTGGCCCAATTTTGTGAAAGATGGCAATTGATCTTTTTCATTTGCAATATTACATGTTTTATGAGTACTGTATATGGCAGTAAAATATCAAGGCCTACATTATTTGTCCAGACTGTCAGGTATTGAGTGTGTGCTCTGAAATTGGCCAATATGCAAATTGGTGAGCTGGTGTTCTATTTATACCTGCTGTCTGCCATTCATCACACTGGTTGACTAATCTACACATTGACTAGTCCACATCTATTCACAATTTTCTAAAACTGACTGTAAATAGTCCAAGGGGGTATTTCAGAATCAGAACTAAGAACACTTGGACATTTGATCTGAAACTGACACTTGACCATGTCAAAGCAACACAGAAATTACAACCTAATGTGTGAGTGTGTTTAAATATTCATTTTATTTGCATATACTTATTATAATTCCAAAATGTATTGTAGTAACTCCTGTCAGGAATGTTTAGCTTTGGCCTATGTGGCATTTGAAAGGAGAGTAAATGGCAAAATGTCTTAAAAATATATTTTTAAACATGGATCAAAAATATTTATTTATCAATGCACTTAAAAAGTTACTTTGTGTGTGAGGTAGAGCTAAGACCTTAAACCAAACTGACAGATACATTATGTGCCCAGTCAGTGGCGCACTATGTCTAATTGTTGTTAATAACTGAATGCCCCCCCCCAAAAAAAAAACACACTTTTCATTCATTTCAATTTATTTACAGCACTTTGTCAATTACAATATATTGAGTAATACTGTTTGTAGCTGTAATGACACAGCTGTACAGTCTGATGAATTTGGGTTTGTCCTTATTTTTGCTAATACAAAATACGTTATCACACCCTTTGTAACGTGGCTTGGAAAAGTTGTGACATCCCTAAGCTTCGTTTCCTCACACTGAAGACAACCATACGTTCTTGTTGGGTTCATTGTTTTCCCTAGGTCACATGACTGAATCGTGTCTTGTCGTCATCACCCTACGCGGAAGTCACTAACACTTGTGATGGTGGCGGCCGCGTCAGACTAGCAGCAGGAAGAGGAGGATGTTTTCTTCCAGTGAAAGAGTAATAGGAGCTGATTCCAAACCGTTGTAACAGAGTAGGTGATCAGCCGTAGAGTTTTTTTTCTTTTTTTATTTTGCTGAATCTGTTGGGATTGAGACAGTTCACTCCCTTACCTGGAGCCAACCTCTGTCAGTCTGAAGCAGGGCGCTGCTGGATAAGATGTCCCTCTTCCAGTCGGCACTGGATTTCCTAGCCGGGCCCGGCTTGTCCGGGGCGGCCAGCCAGGACCAGAATGACTTCGTTGGACAAGTCGTTGAGCTCGGTGACATGAAACTGAGGATCAAGAGGGTAATCGCGGAAGGTGAGGTGGTGCACCAGTACGAGAAATGACAATTACGTGTTCGGCGGCTAGGCATGTTGGTTAGCTGAATTGGCTACTAGGCTAGCATTACTAACATAGCTAACGCTACCTGTTTTGGTAGTCAGTGCCAGTAGCGTTAGCAAGTGCATAGCAATGAGTCACCCGGTAGCACCAGTTGGTAGTTTGGTTTCGTGTTTGTCTAACAAGTAGCACATTACTGTAGTTTTTGATAAAGCAAGTTTAAGAAGCGTTTCATATATAAGACTCAGATTAGCTAAAAAAAAAAAAATACTTTAGATTGTGTCTCCTCATCCTGTGCTGCAAAACCAGTCATGAGCCACAATTTCAGCTGTGTTGGTTTATAATAATGTGTCTGAGATTGAATCTGAAATAATCTTCTATATTTATTTGTATGTGAAAACCCACAGATCAGGGCTCTTCTCTGTGGCAGCAAATAGGGATTCTTGTTCTCAGTGCAGAGTGGCAAGACAATCTTGCTACACTATCATTCATGGTTAGTTGTTTGCCATAGTGACCGGCAGAGGGTTGATAATGCTGCTCTTTATGTTGGGTACTGTTTATGCAAAAATATTGGTTAAATCAGATTTAACCACAAATATACTTAACAACAAATAGCACTTAAATCTGTGCTTTAACATTAGCTGTGAGATCAGTGGGACTCAGTAGAAATACTCCATTGTTCAGTGTCAGCAGAGTGTTCAGCAGTGTCAGACCAGTAAAAAACTGAAAAACACTGTGATAAGTGAACCTTGTCATCAGCTTAAGTGCAAGGAAACCCTTTTTGATTGAAACAATATCTTGCCTGTAATTCGAAGTATTACTGCCATGGCTGCATTTCGCAACTCCATGACTCATTCTGATGTATTTTGTCCCATCTGTTTCAGTCTAACATTATGTGTAGAAAACATCTATTTGCTTAGCTCTAGTTATGAAACCATTACAGCCGATTGAAAGATAATACAACAGTTGGTTCTTAGATCAGTAACTAAGGTTTGTTCTACTTCAAAGAATCTTTTTGGGTAGCCGCGTATATTGTTGTTGTGTACATTAAGGAAGCCACAAAGATTGTACCCTATCCAGATTTAACAATTTGGAGCATGATAAATAAGGATTTGTGTAGTGCTGGACCCGAATATCCGACTATTCAAATATTTGTTTGTTGGGTAGGTGATCGATTTTTAATTTTAGTATTTGAATATTTGAGAGAGACTCCCTCCCATCAGAACAGGAACAGTAAAGGCCACTGTGTATGTCTGGGCAATCTTGTCTGTGTAAAGAAAGCTTGAAAGACTAGAATTTTCATTGTGTTCATTCAGTTTTTCACAAAGCAAGGTTAGTAGTTGATTTACTCATCGCTGTGGTAACCTTAACCAGGCCTTGTTTGGACTGTGACTTCTTGAGTATGTTTACTAGTGAGCACAAATATACACACATTTGCTGAAAAAGTTAAGAATGGAAAGTTTCTTGGTTTCTCCCACAGTCCAAAAATATGCACGTTGTTGTTGCTGTTCATTTGCTCATAGGTGTGAAAGTGAGTGCCAAAGGTTGACTGTCTTTGTGTGTCAACCCTGTGATTAAGTTGCGACTTGGCCTGATTATTCTCCTTCTCTGTTAACTAGCTCATGAATACAGCAGCACTGGCCACATGACCACCAGTATAAGTTTCAGCCCCACCTTCAATGAAAAGATAGATAATCCAAGGCGCCTGAAGGTGAAAGGTGTGGGCTTGTGGCACAGGTTGCTTTAGTTATCATGTTCTTGAGTAAGGAGTGTGATCTCAAACTTCTACATATGGCTGCTCAGCGGCCAACAATTACAACTGTCATTGCTTGACAGCTTCTACGTCAAAATGTTTGTGGGTGTGTAGAGAACTATATACATACAGCAAGTGTTTCTTTGTCAGTCATCTTTTTAAAGCATCAAAACACAATAGTTGTGGAAGGACAAATCAGACAGACATTTGGCATTAATCAAACACTGTAAATTACAAAACATCCTGCTCTGCATCACACAGTTTTTGCCATACTATGCATTTGAGATTGATAATTAGGTTTCATTTTAGATACTAACAATGTAAATGACATCCTGTTTGCTGTCTTTGTTTTCTCAGGTGGATTTGCCTTTGTGTATGAAGCCCAGGACATGAGCAGTGGTAAAGACTATGCCCTCAAGGTAATAAAAATCTGTACCCATTTAGGAAATTCTACCTGCTACTGCTGGTTTATGATGAGCCACTCTTTTGTGTTTTGACTACATGCATGTTCATTTATTGATTTATCCATGTATTGCTAGCTGGCAAGGTGTGGAAATGATACACAGAGTGTACTAATGTGGGATGGTGCTTCTCCTGCTTTGTTGTCAATTAAATCGCTCAGGAAACATTTCCTGAGCAGGCTGTTTCTTAAAATTAACTCAACAGATACTGAAAATATTTTCTAATTAGTCTGAAGACTTGGATCCAGTGGTCTCTTCTTAGTAATAATGCTGAACTATGTGGGGTTAAGATGCTGTGTTTTTTGTTTTAAAAGTTCAGTAATTAACTGTCTACATTTTAATTCAGGGCAAATAAATAATAAATGAACAAATCAGACTGCTATACATTAGCTGTACTGTTGTATTGGAAATTGTTGAGGAGAAATATTAATATGCTGAATGTTGGGCATGTGTGCACTGTGCTTTTTGTGAGCATCCATTTTAGGGCTCTGCCTGGGTCTAAATCCAGACTCAGTTGTGAAATTGTGAAAGCGTCTGTTGTACTGCTCAGTCATTATAATCAGCACGTGCAGTTAATTTGATAATTTGACCCTGTTTGACTTCCATCGACATCGGTTTTTCATGTTCAAAGCAAATGCTGTATAGACTGATTATTGATGGAATATATCAATTCAGTTGTCTTGGGTATGTGTCTTAAAAAGATGATGTGCCACCTGGTCTCAGAACAGCAACAAACCGATGATCTGTGTGTTTGTTTTAGAGGCTGTTGTCCAATGAAGAAGAGAAGAACAAGGAAATTATTCAGGAAGTCTGCTTCATGGTATCCTTTATCGTTTCCAGACCATGATGAAAAGACACCTTTTTTTTTTATTATAAAATGCTTCTGGTTTACTACACAGCATTCTGATTTAGTACACTGCAGGAGGTGGCGTCTAACAGAGTCAGGTTAACCTTAAACAATCGCTACCACCAGGGTAGTTTATAGACAACATTGATATAGCTTTGTGTGTCTTAAGGTCAAAATATTAAGCTATGCCTCAAGTGAGGTCTTGTTTTATTTTGTGGAGTCCCAGTTTTTATCAGTGAGAGGAACTCGGGCAGTTGTGGGAACTAGCAGCTGAAAATTCTCTGAAAATGTCTCCTGTCCTTTTGGGAAATGACTGTTTCATGCTGTGTGGGTTCACAGGCGATTGGTAAATGACGCACCATGTCCCTGGATCTGTTGTAACATTGAGCTTTTAGACCATCATTGTTTGCAGAACATTTGATGCTGATGAGACAGAAAAACAAAGTCTGAAGTCATTTTTGAATTCTTCCCACAACCCAGTCATAATCTCACCATCCTTTCATTATTTGACCACCAAGCTACAGTTTTGGAATAGATTTAATCTTCTATGGCCTGTGTATCAAAGTGAATGGCAAAGTAGATCAATTAAAATTGTAGCCATAGCCAGTCACAATCAATTTGAAGTTTATCATACTCCAAAGTGGTTGGTGCATTCGGTAAGACACACCTAAATCCAACCAAGTCTGTCACAAGAGGATTTATAGTGTTTTGTTTTTGAGACTGACTAAATGGGAGGCCAGGGTTGACACCACAGTAATGTTTATACTGTGTAGTCCTTAACCTGCTCCCTCCAAAGAAAAAACTGTCAGGTCATCCCAACATGGTCCAGTTCTGTGCTGCTGCTTCCATCAGCAAAGAGGAGTCGGACACCGGGCAGGCCGAGTTCCTGATCCTCACTGAGCTGTGTAAAGGTATGCACAGACCCACTTTTCTTAATATTTGTGCTTCTTTGTCTGCCACTTCTGTGTCTACATCTCTGCTACTGAATCATAGCTGACTCATTCATCAAACTAAAGTGCTAAAAGTGTGGGGCGTCAGTACTGTTTCCCCAGTAACTTTAACTGAAAGACAGTTGTGATTGAACAATTTCCTGTCTGTGACCTTTCCACTTCCTGTTCTACTTCCTTTCTATTCAGCCAATTCATTTACAACATACTTTATTTTTATTCAGATGTTTATCAGTTTTAAATGTAAACAACTATTTATTGACAATTGAAAATTATGTACACACATTAACATGATGTGTGAAGCGCCTTTTACAAGGCATTACAAGGTCTTCATATTTTCTCTAAATTCATGAGACAGCTTCCAATCAACACACCAAAAAGACATCTGGGCAGTGGCAGATGTTGCCTTCACTTTGAGTGGTCGGTTTTATTCATCTGATTTTCTCTTGTCCTCCTCAGGTCAGCTGGTGGACTTTATAAAGCGGGTAGAGCAGAAGGCTCCCCTGTCATGTGACACTGTGCTGAAAGTCTTTTACCAGACGTGCCGCGCCGTGCAACACATGCACAAACAGAAACCTCCAATCATACACAGAGACCTCAAGGTTAGTTTTTGTCCTTTGTAGTTGGACAAGTGAATGACATATCAAAAAGCTTGTGAACTAAATGAAATCCCTTAACCCTCCTGTTATGTTGCGGGTCAAATTGACCCACGAACATAACTGCTTTAAATGAGACAAATATTTGATATGAAGAAATGAACATAATAGGAGGGAACCTTCCTGTTATGTTCATTTCTCAGGTGATGCCTGCTCAGCAGTTATGTTCGTGGGTCAATTTGACCTGCAACATAACAGGAGGGTTAATATTACAAAATTTTGTGCCACATGAATAAGATACTCAGATGTAAAGCACAATTGATACAACTTTAAATCAGGGGCTACTAATTGGTAATCAAATGTGCATCACGCTAACTCACTGTTTACTTGATGTGTTGCAGATTGAAAACCTCTTGATTAGTAACCAGGGCACCATCAAGCTGTGTGACTTTGGCAGTGCCACCACAGTGTCACATTACCCTGACTACAGCTGGTCGGCACAGAAGAGGTCCATGGTTGAGGATGAGGTACGCACACACACAGACATCCGTCAGGAGTAGAGGTGGAAAGTAACTTAAGCAACATTTACTTAAGTACATTTTTGAGCTATTCTGAGGTATACACATTGTCTATTGAGTTATTCTTTCATTTTCTGCTACTTTATACTTCTACTTCACTACATTGATAACTTTAGTTACTAGTTACTTTTCAGAAATAGGTTAATAAACCAAAATACAGTGTAGTCACAAGATTTATCGATCCTTGGTGTAAAATTCACACGCTAGTCAGCAGTATTTCACTTTATAGGCATGTAAGGTAGTTAAAACTAGGTCCACCTTCACCAGCTGCATCATTAAATGTGACGTACACAATAATGCATCAGTAATTATAATCAAATAATATGATGTTCATCAGTGTAAACAGTGTCATTTTACATAATGAGTACTTTTCCTTAAGTAACATTTTGAATGCTGGCCTTTGACTTTTACACTGCGGTATTGTTACCTTTACTTAAGTAAACAATCTGAGTACTTTTTCCACCACTGGTTAGGAGGAATTTCAACAGGGCCATTCTTATACAATGTATTCATTCTTGGGCAAGATTTGTAACTCAATTCATTTTTATTTCCATCCCTGATAGTTTCAGTTTAGGTTATGGTTCTGATTATGTTATACTAGGCTTTGAGAATGTAGAATATATTTTCTTTGCAGACAAAAAGTGTAGTAAGCGCTTAAACATATAATTAACCAAATGTATTATTTAAGACACTAATGGATTCGTCTACAAAAGGACAAAAAACCAGCCAGTTTTCTTTGAAATGTTTCTTTCCCCTTATCCAGTTTATCCTTATGCGGTTCACATTGTAAAGCCTGCTGAATCAAATTTGCGATTTTGAGTTGCATATTATTATTAAAGCATATTATATTATGTAATTTTGCTATGAGAGTCAATTCTTCAATTAAGAAAGAAACAAAACACATGCATGATGTTGAAAAGGAACCAGAAGCCTTTGATTGAATTAACAGCTGGAGGTCCAGGCAGCACTGGCCAATCAGGTTAATTATATTCATACTATAACCATGCAGACACACAGGAACTTTGTATGTACAGTATGTATAATGTAATGAATGTAATAAACTGCATGTCCGCTGGACACCTGTTTCCACACTAGGAGAACAAAAGAGATGCTTGAGAACAGAGCTTTTTTTTTTTTTGGTGGAAAATCTGAAATGGAAGCTGTTCAGTTAAAATTAGAATGATTAGTTTCTAAAAGCCTGCTTAACTGTCTATGTGGGAACAAATGGATTGTCCTGTCCATAAAAATGATCAGATGGTTGTAAAAGCATTTTTTTTTTTATCAGTTTTATCTACTACAACCCCGCCCCATACTGGTCCAACAGCTGATGTTGTGTGGGTTTTTCTGTTTGTGTGTAGATCACAAGGAACACCACTCCAGCATACCGAACACCAGAGATGATCGATCTCTACTCCAACTTCCCGATCAATGAGAAACAGGACATCTGGGTCAGAGCCCCTCGACTTTTTAATCCATCGATACCAGCTACAATAGAAAACAGTAGTGTTAATTCAGGATTGATAATGTTAAAGAGCTTAACTTTGCTACAACTGAGCTAACCATCCGTGATGTTTGTTGTATAAGACTGGTTCTCTGTGAAGCCGAGATAACCAAAGATCAAAACATCC